TGATTAATTTTTATCTTTCCATCTGACGTCTTCAAATAATGATTAATCCTTTATGATAACTTACGTTGCCCTCTTCACTTTATCTATCATTAAAGGAATTAAGCTCCGAATGAAACAATGCGACAAAATAATTGCATTTGCGCATTATGCAAAGATTTCCGTCATGTGCAAATTAAATTGTACAGGTTTAATCCGAACATTACTTAGAGAAACTTACTTAATGCAAAAATAATTATTTAACGATCCAAAAACATTATTCTGTTATCTTCTTTTACAATGTTCTTTTTTTTAACACAATGTACCTTTAAAATGTATTTTGGAATCTAAAAGAAGATTTAAACACCTTTTGCATGTACTTTTTATAGTTTTTTTTTTCTTTTTAAATTATTTTTTATTCTAACTTTCCACTAGTATTATTTTGCATTAATCCTGTCTGTTATGTTTAGTTTTGTTCAACAGTTCTGTTTTAGCTTACTAACCCTCAAGATTTCTTTGTGTAAGTATACTATTTTTTTCCATTTTTCTTTCTGTAATTTTGTATTCATTAAAGTTTTAAAAGACTTCAATAAAAGTAATTTATTCATAGTTTTATTACTATGGAGTTTCATAATTTCAAGTTATTTTGTTTGTGTTTAGTCGATTTTTTTTTCCTTTTTCCAAATTAAGTAGTTGTATGCATATTTAAATGTTATGAGTCAATAGCTTGTCAATGCAAATTTACTTTTTTTTACGAACACTTGATTAAACTGTAAAGTATTTTGATGTGGAAAAAATTTTATATACTCATGTGTTCGAAACATTACAGGAAAATATTTCTAAGGCAGTTTTATTTAAAATATAAAGAATTCTTTGCTATGTTGCTAGCACGGATCCAATGGAACACATGAATCATAAACGCAACAAGAAAATGACTCCTTTGATACCTGCCACGAACTAATTGTCGCGTTCGCTTTGGATAACTTGTATCTGTAAACATTTACATCGTAGAACTGTTTCTATAAAAGAGGACAGCCTGGTCAAAGACTGAAATTCAAGTTGGAGTGGCAGGATTCTATTTCCGATCATAGAAAACTAAACCTTCATGTCCAGTGGTTAAGAGAGGATATTAAACGTCAGCCAGCTTTTAAACACGCTACAGAAAAGTATTAAAATTATAAAAAAAAATTGCAAGTAGTAGTGTGTGATACTTGGGTTCCAGAACTTAACGAATTATTATATGAAATTTCAATCTATAGTGTAGAATTAAAAACTTATTGCTTTGATAGCTGTTAAAAAACAATGCTTATTATTTTGTACAATTTCGATTTGATAACAATAATTAAGTTAAAAATCTTGTGCAATTTGTCATTGAAATTATTGGAAAACATGTAAAGTTTGAAGGAATAATCATAAAACCATTTCTAACTATTTTAATTAGCTCAATTTTTCATTTTATCTTATATTAAAGGTATTTTTAAAATTTATACAGTGGAACCTCGGTATACGAGTTTAATTCGTTCCAACATTGAGCTTGTGTAGCGAATTTCTCATATCTAGAAATAAACTTCCCCATTGAAATTAATCGAAATCCAGTTAATCCGTTCCGCACCCGCAATATTTACTTTTATGACAGCTTCCGACCTCGATTTTTTAACTGCTTCTCGTTAATCCTCACCAACAACAGGATCTCAACATCTTCTAGGAGTTTTGGATGGTGCTTGGAAGTAACGGTAACTCCTTTGGCTGCATCAAGTTTCTTAATTTCTTCCTGCTTCTTCAGAATAGTGTAAATCGTTGATGTCGAATTTCTCGTATATAGAGGTGTTCCTATCTCGAGGTTCCACTGTACCCAGGTATGACACCGATTGACGATAAAAATGTTGCTTATGTAGCCACTTTGTAAGGTTATTAGTTATTATTTAAATTTAACAGTTTTTATGATTTCGGTCTTAACTATAACATCTCCTTTACGTTCTTCAGCAAAAGCAAATGAGATAGCCGGTATTTAGACTGAGGGTTTTAGAGTTGCTCCTGCAACGCAATTTTATTCAGGCAACTGGCTTACGCAACAGTTTATAATAAACTTTTCAGTTATGGCTCCCAAAATAGAACTTCAGAATTCCTGCAGCAGTGGAGTAATAACCAAAGACTTCAGAAAAATAGCCCATATAGTCAAATTGAGTATGCTGGTATAATTGACCGTATTGTTGAGCAGCATTCCTTGAAACAATGTTTAGATCCGTCTGAGGAACTCCCTGGAGTCGAGTTTCATACTGAATATTTGTTTCGAGTTTCCAAGAAAAATGATATTCCGGCCTTGTTACGACAATCTGCCTTAGGAACTATACACGCAATTCCCGCTGAAGCTTACCCTTATCTACACTAATGGGCGTAAAAGCAAGGACTCTCGTTTCCGGTAGTGGAATTGTCATTAAATGCAGAAATGGAAATATTGTTAAAATAAAGAAAAATTCTGACTTCGGTTTGGTTTTTAAGAGTGAGCTTATAGCCATCGAAGAGGGACTAAACGCTATTACTTCCTTTACAGATCTTAAGGCAGTATGGTTTTTGTCAGACAGTCGTAGCGCCATCCAATATCTTTCAAACTGGCGAAGAGTTGGTGATAGAGCCGGAATTGCAATTCTTAGCAAGCTTAAGCAGGTCTCGTTACTCTGTGAAGTGCACCTTCAGTTGATTCCTTCCCATGTTGACATATGGGGGAATGAAATTTCAGACATTCTGGCGAAGAAGAGTTCTGCAGAACCATTACCAGTTACCAATTCATTGGCATATCTTGAACTGTATTCCATTAAAAGACATGCTGACAGCCAAATTTGGCTCGTTCCCCCGAATTATCCCTGGTATCAAGCTGATTGTCCTGGAAGATCTCTTGCTATTTATTGCGATAGATGTGTTCAGACAAAACTTTCCCGACTCTTCAGAGGATACCTGAAAGGACTTAAGGACTTACTTTTGACAGAGGTCTCAAGATGCACCCAATTTGTTCTAAATGTGAAAATGCACCTGCATCACCGGCACATATCCTTGAGTTCCTGGAGTTGTCTTTTGAGGACCTTTACAAGTCTCCTAAGCTTGTTTTCGATTTTCTGAAGTTGAATGGACTCGTATATTTCGTCTAGTATATTCCTAGACGTGGAGATTAGTACAAAAACAGAGTTGCTCCTTGCCACGTATTCATGGCACGTATTAGTTCCCTGCCATATCTGATAGTTCTAACTATTCGGTGTGCGTTACTGAAAAATTAATTTTGACGCTCCGGTTAGAATTGCTGAGCCAGCTTAGGATATATTTAATTTGTGTAGTCTTTGACTGCTGTTCCATTTAAGTTCAAAATGGTTTGTTATATTACCATGAGCTGAGGTAGGTGTTATTAGCAAAAGAACGTGCATTTATGTTCTAAATGCTGTTTGAATAAAAAGATTATTAAAAATTCTCCTCTACTTGTAGTTAATACAGGCATAACAAAATTTGCTTGACGCCTATTAAGGTTTTTAAACTTATTAACTTTCATCAGAGAAAGGAAATCTCCGTAAGTGGCGACGCTGATTTTGACGCTCCGGTAGAATTACTGTGCCAGCTTATAATGATATTTAATTGTATAGTCGTTGACTACTGTTCCAAGTTTGGTATAAATTTGACTAGTCTATTTCGTTGCATCAACACGAGCTGTAGCTGTCCTTTTAAATATAATTTCATCGTTCAACGTAGGGTTAAAATTCGCTACCGAAATTTTAAGCGTATGTTGAACGAAATTATACATATAAGAAATCTTTTTGTAAACGTACATTGAAAAGTTATATTTCATTTAAAGGATGTTAGTCATGACTTAAAGGCGGAATACAGGTGAACTGCTGGTCCACAGTAAATTTGAATATCATCCAATTAAATGAGTAATTTGTTCATAGTAAATCTGAAGACGTTCATTGTAAATCTTTTTAATTATTAAAATTAAAGAAATTAATTACTAAATTTGGCGGCACAAAAGCAATTTGGATTGTACTGTGCGTAAGAGGGATAACTGTGCGTAAGAGGGATTGTACTGTGCGTAAGGGGGATCATCTGTGCTTGCTAATAAGAGAAAATTTTGGATTAATACATAGTCATCGATTAAATGCAAATTTTGGGTGCATAGACTAAACATTATTTCTTCGATTACCCGACGTACTGGGTGAAAAACCTATTTCTAAACAACTGAAGAATGAACTTTCTGCTTCGAAAAAAACTCTTATAATTTTAACGAGAAAAATACACGTACTATATTATTTAAGAGTTGGAAGAACTTTACGATAAAAGATGAAGATTATGGTATCTTAGAGAGAGAAAAAATGGGTCTAGATGTATAAAATCATTTCCTTATCTTAACTGCATTAATATCTCTTTTATACGTTCTAGACATAGTTTAGACAGTTTTGTAATTTATCATATGTTTGTGTGTACCAGACATATCCCCAGTTCATAGGTCTCGTTGTTCGATCAACTTTTGAATATTAAAAGACTTTTCGAAATAGTAACTGTAGGTCTAGCAGTAATGTCCTTAATATTGCTGACATGGTTTTGCATTCAAAATTATAAAATGCGTAATCTTATCATAGGAACATAAAGAAAATATTTTCTATTATTCATAAGTAATTTTTTAAAATTTTATATGATTTCCCAAAGCATTAAAAATTTCATTCAAATTAAAATTCGAAACAAGTATTTTTATGTCGAATTTGATTAACTTTATGTGTCTAAAGACTGCTGTAGTTTTATCTCAAAGTAGCAACAGGAGAGAAAAAAAAGTTCCTCCGAATCATCGTAGATTGTTTTGATTTTTATGACAACTGTGTGATTCAGCAGTTTGTTCGTTTTGGTGAACTTCTAGATGCACTTGAAGCATTATGATAACTGCGATGCTTCTTTTCCTAACTGTAAAGAAATATTCCTAAGATCGAGCGAACTACTTGATCACTAGGAATGGATTTCATTTTATCACAGTGTAACTACCTTTCAAATTTTAGGGCAAGCCTGGCAAGAATGCCTCTCCAGGTCTACCCGGAGAACCAGGTCCTAAAGGTGATCGTGGTGCCGCAGGTGAGAAAGGAGAAAAAGGACAAAAAGGAGTAATTGGTCTTCCAGGGTTCCAGGTAAGGAAGCAGATGTTATTCTTCTTTTATTTTATATTTATTCAAGATCTAAACATTTCTTATGGAAATATGGTTATTGATAAATCACTTGATTTAGTTGGCAACCCTTTTCAAAGGTTTATCGCGTAATATTTGTTTAAAATACTTATGAGCCATGCAACCCATCTAAAAAATCTGATGTGTACACCACATGACTTCCTTGTACGGAATATTAAATTATACGCATTTTTTCTTGCATTTTATTTAAACTTATTAGATTGAATTAAACCTACTTCGCCGACAGCGCATAAACCACAATAGAATAAATGCATTCTTTAAAATTCACTTTGTTTACCATAGCGACACTCTGGCGCTAGGTTTACTTAACAGTATTATATTTCATTCATATTATAACTCATGCACAAAATGTATATCATTTCAAGAATTATCTAATCGTTGCCACATGTTCTATTCAAATACTATAATAAAGCTAGAACTGATGTATAAAAGAAATTAAGCAAATAAAACAAAAAAGAAACAGTTTTTCACAGACGATTGAGTATTTTCTCATTAATTAATTCAGTTCTTACTTCGCGAGAAGGCAAAAATACATAAAAACTCAAATATCTATATTAAAAATTACGAAGTAAATCTCAAACGCTTATTTCCTCGAAAAATTCCAGAAAGGAATTAAGCATGATTTAATTGGCAATAATAAATGAATGCGTTATCTTTGTTGTTGCGAAGCTAAGTTTCTCTAGATTGGCAACAAATCCACTAGTCTCTTGTTTCAAATGGTAAACATTAATGGCCGCCATTAAAACAGCTTAGCGGCAATTAAACAACTTTAAAATTGCTGATAATTCTAAAAATATTTCACACAGATTTACTAAAGGCATAAAATCCTTAACCAGAAGATAAAAATAATATAATTCAATCATTTTTAAAGAAAAAATGTACAATTTACAAACATATAAGAGTAAAGAAACTGAGATCACTGAGCCGGGTAACAGAGTGGATATATATACATAAATATAGTTATATACGTTTGTTGCGGCCGATTGCAACCAAAATACGAGGTGCACATCTACATGTTATAGCAGTCCTATATACAAAATTTCAACGTTCTGAGGCTACTCGTTTTCGAGTTATGCGAGATACGTACGTACGCACGTACGTACATACGTTCGTACAGACGCCACGAAAAATTCTCTTCAGAATTAATTTTAAAGCAGTTTTATAATTTTTTGAAGGAAAAGAGTATTTTATTCTGTCCTTACGTACAGATATCACGCAAACATCGTTAAATTGCATTCGATAGCGCTCAAAATGGATATTTTCGTTGAAATATGCTGCCTGAAACTTTTTGCGATTACAATACTTCCGTTTTACTTCGTACAAGGAAGAAAAAAATAATCTTCTCCTTCCTGAAGGTAGTCTTTCCGGTCGTCTTATGTTCAACTCCCAACATTCTTGGCATTTTGTGGAAAAGTAGCTTGATTGCAGAGTTGCATTTTCTTTTCGAATAACTTTCAGTCCTACGGAATACATCAATTTAAATGTGCTAGTCAACTTTTGAAATTTTCAGAATAAACATACACATTTTAGAACTTAATGAAACTGTTTGAAATATCTGATGAATTTCTCTGCTATTTTTCCTCTTATTACACTAAACTTGATGAATACTGAGGAAGAAGAAACTGAGCATATAAAACTTTAGAGCAATGTTTTTTAGCCATACAGGATCTATTTTATGCACACAATAAGTAATATGGTAATACGGACAATTTGTCTCCAATATGTTGAATATAAGCAATGCCTTTCTGCTTGTTGTGTTTAAATTTCCTGAAGTACATACCAGCATGCTGAATTGAAAAAAAAAATGTATATTCTTAGGGTAAAACTTAAAAAATAAAAATTGTAGAAAGCTCGCCTAAACTTATATATACTACAAAAATTAAAGAAACTCTTAAACAACTCTATCGATTCTTTATAGTATCCCCCCAATGGCGGCCTGTAGACGCTTATAGGCGTTGATCATTGCTAAGGGCGGAAGCGGTCGGCACTTTATTAAGAAGGCACCTAATAGGTGAGCAACCGTTGCCTCCTATAAAGGAACAAATTACATCCATGCCTTCTCCGGGATTCGAATCCTGGCTCTTCGGTACGACATTTAGAGTCACTAACCGCTTTCCTGTCTGAGCGTCGAATTCTTCATAGTTGCCTTTATAGAATTTACAATTTAACCTCGATAGGATACTTTCTCGGTTTTGAAACTTCGTTCAGCTTTCCACCGATAAATGCGTTGTACGTATCGCCAGTAACTATCAATGCAATATTTTACTTCTTATCATAACACTTAATACGGCTCAGCTCTACTCCTATGATCATTACTGAAAACCGTCTTTTCTCTTGTAAGAAATGTCTTAAATATTATGAACGTAAATGCTCATATACGCCAATAGAAGAAAAATTTTAATATAGTTTTCTGCACCAGCCTGACTACCGTTAATTGTGATAGTACTGTTTCTTTTTGTTTATTATTTCTTCGATTTTTATGAATTTTTGAAATCCTTAGGATTTAAAATTCATCTGACTGCGTGAATACTTATGTATAATTTAATATATTTGTATTAGTAATCATAATATGCTTGATATTTAATGTAATTTAAGCGTATATAATAGGTATTTTGAAATATTTATTATACAAAATATAGCAATAATATTTTATTAAGCGCTTTGGAGTTTATTAAGAACTTTGAAATTCTGATTTCAATTCAGATTGTGAGATATATTGAGATCCGGTTATAATCCTAATTATTCGGAAAAATTATTTTTATGTTATTAGAGAAATTTCTTAAAATCATCTTTTAAAAAAATATTCACTATTTGTGTGTTTAATTCTTCACGTGTTAGTTTCTTACACCACTTTTATTTATTATTATTTTCTTCTGAAGTTATTTATTGTTATTTTTTTAAATATTTTTTATGTGTTTATGCGGGTTTTTTTTTTTTTTTTTTTTTTTTTTTTTTGAAAGTCTTTAAAAAGGCTTCTTCAGCATTTCTGCTTATTTTAAATTTTGTATGCGAGCAATATATTTTCAACGTTAATGAGATCACGTAAGAATTTAATGTGAAAATTGTTCATCCGAGGAGTTATAAACGTAATACTTTGAGAAACTTAAATGTTGCAGATCATATTTTTTTTTCATTAATAAACCTAATATAACTATTGTTTAAACGTGGAAAAAGTCCTGTAAAGTTAATTAAAAATTTCCGCATAATCAAAATTAATATTCATTATAGCTCCCCTGCCAGCACTAAAACTTCAGTGTTATAAAAAAACCTTAGTTTTTAGAAAATCCTTATTTTAACCATTAAATTCCCGAATTCGCTACATTTAAAATATAATTATTATTTTTCTTCTATTTCGTTAGCATTTAGTTTGAGGTAAAATGCAATTATTAGGCGATTAAAAAGTTTCTTTGTAGTTTATTTAGCATGTTACCAAATATCTAGTTTGCATATAATGCTTTATTAACGAATAGATGTGTATTATCAATCTAATCTCTGAAATTTCATTACCAAGTCATTATCTCAAAGTTTTAATTCAATTATTTTATTGTCTATGGTTTACCCGTGACAATTATTTTTATTGTCTATGGTATACTCGTGACTTGTCTTCGAGGCTTTTGTCGTCATATCTTCCAAAGATGAGACCGGATTTTTCTCGCGCTGCTTTTTTGTTTGTTTCATCTATACACTGTTTCCTCTACACACTGGATGTTGGACACCGGTTATTAATTTCTGTATGTTCTGTACATAAATATCGCTTGGTGGTTTAATCATTTCATCTTTCTAGTACACTGTACTTGAAAAGGTAACAATTTTAATTGCCAGGCGTGAATATATACTGTATTTTGCGAAAAGGCAGAAGGGTTAAATGAAAGCGTTGAATTTCGCAAGTGACATTCCCGCATAAAATTAACCCTCAGGAGACATTTCTGTGTTCAAGATATTTCAACCCCTTAATATATTCTAATATGTATTCAAATTATCTTATTTTTACCAAAAAGGAAAGTCTTGAACTACTTTAGTAGGACATGCATATATAAAGTAGCCGCAAAAAACTTTCGAATTCATGTATTTATGTCTGCATTAATAAACATATATTTAATTACTAAATATTTTAAGCTGTTTGGAGATGCAATTTAAAATTCTGTCTAATAATATTAAGTTAATAACATTTATGACTTCATCCACGATGCAGTACATTAAATTCAGTAATATCCACGATGCAGTACATTAAATTCAGTAACATCCACGATGCAGTATACTAAATTCAGTAATATCCACAATGCAGTACATTAAATTCATTAATATCCACGATGCAGTACATATAATAATAAAGCATAGCATCTCTCTAATAATTTTTCTTCTATGTTTCTTTAAGGGTGAGAGGGGTCACATGGGACCTCCCGGGCTAGATGGCGTGAACGGTTTGCCGGGCCCACAAGGTGCTCCAGGACTTCCAGTAAGTAATTTTCGCTTGTCTTGTAAACTGTAATGTAGTCTTATTTTGTGCGAGCAAAATCTTAAAATTGAATTTGAGTATTTACTAAGTTAGATTTAGCAGCAAAAAATTTAGAAAAGATTCGATTGAAAAGTCACAATCAACAAATTTAACACTATAAGTAAAAATCAAATTAGCACTGACTGGGTTTTCATTGGAACGAGTCCCAACATTAGCAAAGCTTTTTTGTTGCGATAAACACAGCAAAAGTTATAATGTTTCACGCACAAGCTGGAATGCGGTCGAAAGAAGAAAGGCTGAAGCTACATTATTGATCGCATTATTGTATAAAAAGATTTTTGAAGCTACTACGAAATCCATAGATGAATTAGTACTAGCAATAATTTTAGCTTTCGGAAAACGAAAATTTTGGTTTTTGTCTCAACAGGTGGAATTTTTTAAAGGCAACAGGAAGTTTCAACTGTATACTAATCAATCTTATAGGAATTGAAGGCTCAGAGATTAATAAATGTAGTTCTTCGGGTTATATTTCCAACTACCTTTGTTTCATGTAGATGATGATAAAAACTCAAAAGAACTTGCCACGTAATTGGAAGTTAAATCAATGGAAATATTGATTCAAGTCTTTAAAAACCAATAGAAATATATAATTGACTGAAACGCAAATAGATATGTCATTATTTTAATCACAATATCATTATAATACTAGTCTGAACACTTACTTTTGTGTAATAGTATTTTTAACGACTCATTCTCCAGCGTCTGAAACAAAATGTTGTATTATGCATAACCTAATACAATACGCAGTACAACACAATGCAGTCTGACAGATAATGCTTCTAACCAGCTTCTATCATTGAATCAACTTTCAGCGAGAGGCTACTGAAGACTGACTTTCAGCACAAAGTTGACAATATTCAACTTTCAATTAGGACGTCTTACCATTTGTAAGAAGGCTTCAGATCTAGAATGCTTTAGACAGAAGTTATCACCAAAAGGATGCTTATTTGACGACTTATTGCCAAATGTCTTCAAATTTGGGAACAAAGTTTTGTCGAGGAAATTGTTTCCCAATTGGCGATATCTCTTCAGTTTGACAAAATATCAGTACAAAACCCATTATGAATATATGGCTGCTAGAGTATCTCAAAAATCTAGATTAGCTGACATACATATATAGAATAAATTACAATTTTCACAAACTAAATATAAAGCAATAAGTTTGAAATATTTACAATGATAAATAAGAGCACTATTTGAAAAAATTCCTAGCAATATGCAAAGTGATTTTAAAGTATGTTTCGAAAATGTAAATTCAGGCAGAGGAGGTCGAAAAAAAAAAGACATTTTAATAGCATGTGTGCGGAAATGGTGTCTTGAAGTGGTCAAGGGCGCTGTTGAAATAGATAGGTGAAAATTTTCTGATATTGTGAATCGTCATTTACAGCACAGATTTCGAGCTGTATGCATTGCTAAACGAAATCGTAGGTCATTGATATAAATTTTATTTATTGGAATACTTACTGAAACAGAGCAGTTGCCCATAGGATGAACAGAGAACGGTGGTCGGTTAAAATGCAGCTGAACTGCCAGACACTTAAGCATATTAACTGGCGGCTCAACGAGGGTGAATAGTGCATCACTATTGGTGGCACGCGGAGTGTCACTTACTGTAAAAATCCGAATGATTAACATGTCTGTTTGTTTTGACCTTACCTGTCTTTCTTCTTAACTGTCATTCACACCTTTACGTACCAGAACCTTCCCTACGTACCAGTACTTACATCTTCCATTTCTGCATATATGTTCCATTGCAAAATTTCCTTATTTCATCACCTCTGTCTGCCAGTCCAGTTTCTGAAGATATTTTGGAATCACCTTGTGTGTTGGTAATTTTAATTAGATCCACAATTTTTTATATGATTGAACACTGTCTTTCAGTTGGAATAAAAAAATCTGAAGATTTACGATAATCATATATCATAATCATAACATAATCATTAATAAGTGAAATATAAAAATACACCAAGAGGGCTGAGATTAATGTTCTTAAGCTCTTTTTTTTTCTTTTGCTTCTTTCTTAAGCTCATTTTTTTTTCTTTTCTTTTCGGGGACTAGTAAAATGTGTGCCATTGAACCCTAACCATCGGAGACGGTTTTTCTGCGTTGCTAAGAATAAACAAGAACGTTCATTCTATGTTCATTAGTGAATCAATCACCGAACCGAAAACCGATTTAGTTTCCCTAACTTCTTCGGACACCTAAACTCGTATAGTAAGACAGGACATGCAATTACTCCTTCAATATCGTCGAAAGGCACCATTTGGGGGGGTGACAAAGTTCTTGCTTGGAAAGATACACTACATGACATTAAAAATGCACCATTGCAGCATCAAGAAGAAGTGCCTATAAAGTGATGAAACTTGGCAAACAGAGAGAGAGACAGCATCGAGCAATAAGCGATCTTTATTTCGAAATTATATGCATAATACAGAGCGAGAAGAGCGTCGGCTCAGTAGGTTGTAGAACCATACTGGACGGCGATAGCAACACGTTTAGGTACAGAGTCAGTGAGACTACGGATGTTGTCCTAAAGAATGTCTTTCCATTCCCTGTCAACCATTTGCCACAGTTCATCTTCTGAACGCGGCTATGACAGGGTTTGCAAATGGCGTCCAGTCACATCCTGAATGTGGTCGATTGGTGAGAGATCAGGAGAGAACGGTGGTCAGGGAAGCATCTGTACACCTTTCAGAGCACGTTTTCTCATGCGAGCAAGAGGGTGGTCGGGCATTATCCTGCTGATAAAGTGCACTGGACTCTCCTTGAAGGTAAGGGAGTATCACCGGCCGCAGCACATCATCCACGTATTGTTCCTCCGTCATACTGCCTTGATTACGAACTAGATGTGACCTGGAATCGTAGGCAGTTGCGCCCCAAACCACGATACCATGCTGTCGCGCGGTGGGGCATGACACAGGTGCTACCGGACTGGACCTGTCTCCACATCGACGCCACAATTGTACGCGCCGTCTATCACTGGAAAAACAGAAGTGTGACTCATCTGAGAACATGACTTTTTGGTATTCCGTCGTCCACATTGCTTGAGCCTGGCACCATTGCAGATGTTGGCTTCTATTATGTGGAGTCAATGGCAGTCTTCTTAACGGACGCCTCGAGTGCATGCTACTAGCCACTAATGGACGGCAAATGGCTGTGGTCGATATGGGAATGTCCAGGTTGTCTTGAACTTGTTACAGAATAGAAGTGGCTTGCGGGTGCACCTCCGCTTGTTGGAGGATGCGTCGATCCACGTACGCTAACGTCACTCGCTGCACCGACACCCCGCGAACTTGCCATATTTCCTTGTTCCAGCCATTGTCACCACAGCCGGGGCACTGTGGATGCGTCCAGGTGTGTGTCAGCTGAGATTTTTCGTATGGACCAACTTGCCCTTTTCAGTGTGATTACCATGTCCTTCGTAAAATAGTCTGTATGCTGGAGCTTCCTCCCATACAGAGTTCTGCATTTTGCAAAGAGGCCTATTCGCTGACGACTGTCATCATACCGTTGCCTTTTTCTTATGATTTACACAACTCACGTTTGGACTCAAGGTTTCTTCCATGGACAATAATGCTATATATAGCGGTTCGTCGTTGTACTACTAATGGAAAGTGAAGATACTCACCAGAGAGGCAGACACCGCACAGTCATTGCTCTTAAATTCAATCAAGTAAATGTAAGACACTTTCAGGAAATACCTAGCAGTACGTTGCTTGGCACCAGGAACGATTTCACATCTGCGACAGTTAAGAGAAATGGGCTATAATACCTAAAAAACTTGTCGACAATCATGAAGAAAGTGTGAAAATCTAATAACTAGCTAACTTATTCATCAATTACCCTGTTGAATACTGTTTTTCTTGCCTGCCCTCTGTCATATGGACACTTCTGCTTTCTATCCTACTGTGCTCAGAGCAAACTTTAGAATAATAGTCCTTTGCATCTGTTGCCCACCAGCGGCCGAGCGGTAAAGACGCTGAACACTGGTAGTTCGGTCTGAGGTTCGAATCCCGCGAACAGGCTGGCTGCATGGGCGTTTTCGTGGTTTTCCCCATGTGTAAAGTGTATACGAGCCAGTTTCCTTTAGAAAGGACTCAACGAAGGCATCCCTCCCTTTAGGCAGATAGCCTTCGTGTGCTTTGCCGTAATTGAATAATTCAATCGAATCATTTAAATCTGTTAATTTCTTTTCTTGGTCAGTGCTGCTCACTTTCCCAAGTGTTATATCTGGACGATATTAAGATATGCGTTGTACCGATTCAAAATATTACTGCAGTACGTTACATATGAAGAGGTGTCCCGTCCTTTATTTTTGCACACTAATGTATAATATTTGTTTTGTAAGAAATTTTCCATGTGGTACAAAATGCAAGACACAAGTACGATTAAAATCCTTTTCTAGCTAGCCGAATTCTACAATATTTTGGATCTAATTTTTAAAAAAATGTTAAAATTAGAGCATTTGTGCAATTTGAATGTTTCTGTTATCTAAACGGTTTTATTTTTAATTTTACGCAAATCTAAGACCCAGTTTCGATCATTCTCACGGTTCTGGTGTGCTTGCTTGATTCTGTTACATCGACTACGACTATTATCAATTGTTTTGCTTTGTTATCATCAAAGCAGCATGAAAGCAAGCATGAGAAATGATTAGTGATCTTTCACATGAGAATATAACAATATTTCGAATTTTTCAGCCACCTGGGTGCTCACAATTTCTTAGTATATTCATGTTTCCCTCGTGCTAAGTTTTTAGTAAAAAGATGTTCTAGCAATTCTAGTAAAAATCAATCAAATATCTACAAATTTTAAATATGTTCTGAAATGTAACTTGTTTTGCTTTTACAGGGTCAGATAGGTCCTAAAGGTGAAAAGGGTAATCTTGGCGACCTTGGACCTCCTGGTTTGATGGGACCTCCAGGATTACCTGGGCCCCCGGTAATTCTTTTTGTTATTTTGTATTGGCTTTCTTCGGTAATGTTTCTCATATCATTTCTTTTTTAATCCATTATTTTTCCTGCATGTAATTAAAAATTTGAATACTGTAATGCTATATTTACGCATATGTTAAAGAAGAGGAAACGTTTATTGTAAACTTTACTCATTTTAACTCTTTATTATAAAAGTGTATACTCTGTTTCTATAGAACTGTGCTCAAACAGAATATACTAATGCATTGATACCTATAAAATGTAGCCCTGTCATATTGTAGTTAGTGTTGCCTACTTTTAAAATGAGCCAGTTCCAAAATGAGGTTTCAAATAAAAGACTCAATGTTCTTTTTAAAAAGGTATTAAAATGTAATGACAATTTCTTAGATTTTTCATTTTTTTTTTTTTTTTTTTTTTTTTTTTTTTTTTTGTTTTCCTTCAACAACTATTAGTTACGTTCTTTTTTCGAAAGCCATGTTGACATTTTTTCAAGACAGGATTTTATTAAACATCAATTCAGCCACAGAATCTGACAACTTGTTACCACCCTTATTCAGCTCATTGTAGCCAATCTTATTTTTCAGCTTCTTCTGCATTACCCTCTTAGCACATTTCTAATGGCTTCTTTTGAAACATCACAAGAAAGTAGTCTCTTTCAGATAAAATCTTATAGTTTCCATCTTTTTTCTGTTCTTGATCTTCCCTTCCACATTTTCTTTTTCACTTACATTCGTAACAGCTAACTATCTTAAATGTAACATTTAAATTTTCTGAATTCAAGTTTATAAGAAATGTCTTTGGTTTAACAGCTGTTGATCACATATACCATAGCTTCTGATAAAATATGCCCTTTTTTTAAATCTAAACACTAGAGTTAGTTCAAAACAGAAATTATATAAATAAATGCTATTTAAGAAAGGCAATACATACAAGCAGCTTACGGTTGTCATAAATAACGTTAATACATGTAACGTGTTCGAGGAAATCGTTTTACAGTAGGATATAGTTAAGAACATATGATTTCTAAGAATTTTCACTTTTCAGATGACTAAGAAAATTTCAATTTTCTGATACATTTGCTTTCTTAATTATGTGTTAGATGTTCAGCAGTTTACTTGAAAGATATGTTGGCATGACAACTATTTGTGAAATACAACTATTTGGTTGTACCGAATAAAATCATCGCCAGCCAAATTTAGACAATAGGGCGACACGTTTTGATTTGGTAAGTGAACAATTAATACCTTTAATGCCTGGGGGAAAATGTGGAATCGTCAATTAATATTCCTTTTAAATACAAGCAGCTTTATTAAAATGAAATTTCGTTTGATAAAATATGCTTTAAATGCACCTGTAGGAAGACGTTATTGCAAAAACTAAAGACATTTTCATTAAAACAATCTTGCCGGATTTCGATTCGAATATTTTTATCGGGAATTTCACTCAGATCTTAGCGATAATTCATATTTTTCAAAAATTATCAGGAATAGTCGATTTATTAGAAACTTGAGAAATGAAAGAAAATTATCTTAACATTTTCATCCCTATGAAAAATATTTATTTATTCTTTAATAAAACTTTATAAGTTGTGTGTAATTTTTATTATCGTATACTAATCATTTTTGTTATTTATTTATTATCATTTATTTTATCATTTTTATTATTATTATCTGTCACATAATTTTTCTTTAGGGAAAAGTCGGTTTACCCGGAGAGAAAGGGGAGAAAGGTGACACGGTAGGTTGTTTTTCAGATCTTTAAATTCCAGTAATATATTGTATATATTTAGCATATTATTTGTAATGTACTTCAAAATTTCCATAGCTATGTTATGCCTACAATTAGTGAAAACTCGGTAAGTCGACAGGGTATGAGGTAAGCGATTGAAGTCAATTTTATTGAAAGGAACTAAAACAAATATATTCTGATAAATTAGATTTCTAAAGAGTAAAAATACAACTCGTTGCTAGTTTTCATTTAACAGAAATAAATTTGCAGATTTGTTTGTTTGTATCAAATAAAAATTGTTTTTATAAGCACGTTTAAAAATGTAATCAGTTGTACGTCGTCTCTGTTTTTCGTGGTAAATGAGTTGTGTAAAGCACTCTTTGTATTTTAAAGTTCTTTCCTGACTGTTTTGAAGTTGAAGAAATGGACGATATAATTATGCCTGGTTTATCCCTTTTGTGAGTAGGATTCTCAAATTTATCTTCTGAGCTTTCTACTTCATCTAGAGCATTACAGTTTCTTCCTCACATTTTATTTCTTCAATACCAGGACTGTTATCAACTGGCAGATATTGTTTATATTCTGAATTAACAATTTTCAGGAATTTTTTTTTTAGTCGAAAGGGGCTTTGTTCCTGAAGGACTATTGATTTCGTTTTGCGATTTTGCGTTGAATCACTATAAATGTCCGTTTCACTTTTCAAACTTTTGCCACCAAATGTTGTAATCCTGCATTATATTTGAAGAAATTAAATAATGAAAAATCTGCATAAATAAATGTATTTCTATTTCTCGCATTGTGATAAAACAACTGTACATAGAGCCATTGGATTTTGAATGACGTAATCCTCCTACGAATATGGGCATGTGGAAAACCAAATTTGAAATTTGGAATTTGTTTTATTATCGATTTCATATTTTGTAAAACTTTAACGAACTTTTGAGTAACAAACTAAAAGATTTGAAAGAGAGCAATGGCAACAATCTTACGGGGGGGGGACTTTTTTATCTCCAGCGCGCGGAACTGTGTATCGGAAATTCTAAAGATAAGCTCATTTTAAAATTATTTTGCGACATCGCTATTGAACTGAAATTTATGGTTTAAGTGCGAAGAACATGATATTTAATAAATAAAGGTAACACACAAAACGTTAAAAAAACACCCTTTAAACGTAATTTAAAATCTGAAACCTTTCATATTTTTGTTGTTGTTGTTAAATGTTGGATGAAGGAGATTTTGTTGAAAGACAGACAGATTTATGTTGACTTAAATGAGTATTCTTTTTGCGATGCCAAGTTAGCTTTTTTTTCTCCTACAGAAAAATGTACACTGCATACACAAAAGAATGGTACAGTTTCAAGAGGTAATAATAAACTTGTTTCATCTTTCATATGTGAATAATCAGCTCTGTTAGCAATGGCAAGTATCCAAGTTTCTCATGCGCTCCAAACAGTTCACGTCTCAAATATACTGCAGGAAAATGTGGACAGTTTTTTAGATGGCATCGCAACAAAAGAAACCTTTTTGTGAATTACATTTTCACTGGTTGGCTGTTCCCATGTCGAGAATTTAACATTGTCTTCTGCAGTGCTGGAACTGACGCCCTATAGACGCGCTCACAACATTCTCCCCTCGCCTTACATTCATTGAATTTCACGCCATGGGATATCTTTATTTAAAAATTCATTAAAAACAACGTTTGCGCACCACATTATTCACATGTATCTAGAAACTTAATGATGGGATAACGATGCAATGCAGGCCATTACTACAGACATGATACAATGAGTTTGGGATGAATTTAATTAGTGCAAAACTGTGTTTGTGTGACTCAGTGAGCACACGCTAAAGGACTGTATCCGAAACTTGAACTACTGCTATTAATGGTATATGTAGTAAACTCGTTAAGATAAGAAATAAATTTTTTGTTAACCTTCTATACCGCATCATTCTTTTGCGTATTATTTACATTAGATATTTAACTGCACGCCATTCATTATGAAAACTGATATGCACATGAAGCTTACAGAAGTGCGAAATTTACCAGCAAATAATCGAGTTTTTGTTTTCAATTTTTGCTTGCCATTCCACGTTGGATGGCTTATTTTAGATATGTAATTGTGCATCCAACGTTTATTAAGCTTCAAAATGCACGTCAAAATTGCGTTTCTTTCTGCTTCATGGCGTTTCAAATGATTTTGAAAAATTTCTGCACTTGTATCTTTTTGATTTGCATTCAAACTTTAAAGCCCCCACCTTGTCGTCATTTTATGAAATTTCAAATTATTCCCAATGATTAATTGCTCAGTTCTATAACTTTTAGCTTCTTGGGCTGTTATTTGTTATTCTTCATGTGTAAAAGCAACAGTTTCTGTAATTTTCTCTCCTATATTTGATTTCGACTGACGAATATAATCAGATTTCAGCATTTCTCAGCTGTTTTGAAACAACTTTTGCGATTTGCATATTTGAGACGGGTTATTATTTCCGAACTGTGCATTCCATCCGTTCATTATCAAAAGGGGCTATGAGATTTAGCGCTGGTTCACTATAAATGGTATATCTTTTTTCAAACTGTTGCCGCCAAATATTATCGCCTTGTATAATTTTTAAATAAATTATGTAATGAAGAATCCGCATTAATATATATATGTTCTTCACATTGTAAAAAAAAAATGATGGCACCTAGACCCATCAAATTTTGAATAACGTAGTCTCCCACCCGAACATATACATCTGGAGTCCCGAATTTTGAATTTCGAATTTTCTTTATTATTTTTAATTTCGTATTTCGTAAAACTTGAAAGAATTTTTATTAAGAAACTCAATGATTTGAAATCGAGCTGTGACAACATTGTACAGAATGAAGTATTTTTTATCTCCAGCGCGTGAGGTTATCTATCGGAAATTCCAAAGATATACTGTTTTTAAATATTTTGTGATTTTGTTGTTGAATCGAATTTTATGTGGCGTCAGTGCGAAGAACATGATATTTGATAAATAAAATTAATGCATAAAAGTTAATAATAGAAAATATAAAAAAATGTTTTGTAAGCCATATTACTAGGAAAATTAAACATTGACATGATGAACTGAGAAAAGTCTGAAAAAAATAAAAAATATTATGCCAACACTTAAAACAGCAACGAGAATTCTAAACATATGCTGCTATGCTGCATTTAGAAATTTTGTAATATTGCTATTAAATTGCACGTGGCATAGGTGCGAAGAAAATGATAGTAATAAAGCTAAAAAGACAAAAAAGAGTGGTTAACAAAAGTGAGTGCAAAAGCAGACTGGTGAATTGCGAGCTCAGCCAGAACGTAAAAGCTCTTAACAAACCCTTTCGGGAGACAGTTAAAATATGAAACCATTTGATTTCTGTTTCATTCGTTACTAATTTAATAATTATACATTGTTGTAACTGCACTAAGAAATTTTTTATTCATAATCACTCATAGTGCGAGCGACTAAATAAATGAACATATAAAGAATAAAACAATGCAAAACCGTTTTTAAACATTTGTCAGTTTGTTATGGTTGTTATGACAACGGGCATGAAAGTCGTCCGCTGTTATTAGAATTTTCTTATAATGATACGTGGAGAGAGCAGACTAGAAAATGTTGTTGCAGTACTTTTATTGTTAATAAATTTATTGATTTCTTGTTTTATTGTTGATATTCTTTCTGAACAGCGGTTAGTATTGTATGGCTAAGTCTCAAATACTTTTGCTGTTTTCATACTGCACTCAACACCCTACACCTCTACAGAATCACCTAACGCACATTGCATTTTGTGCACTTGGATTTTATATTTTCTTAACGTTTTCTCCAATCCGTAGTTTAGTCTACGATCAGATGTCTTACGAAATTTCCGTTGGTAATTCCACAGAAAATGCAGCTTAGGGTGAGGCTTTAAATGGATTATCAATTGTTTCCTCAGCTTCGACTGACATGGATTTATTTTTTTCTCTTTGAACATGGCAACACAGTTTGGTGCTTTGGACATTCCTCTTCCCAAAGAAAACACACACCACAATAGTGACACGTAAGTGGGGTTATCAAAGGAATAAAAGGCTTAGCACTGAAAACATTACTATTCCTTGCAGTGCAGCTGAAAACTCACAAGAATGTATACTACTTATAAATAACATTGTTAAGGAATTACACTCAATGTTCAGTAAGAAAAGTGTGTTGCTGTCATACTACAACCGCCTGCATACTATTTAGATGGATCCATACTACAGATTAAGAAAATTAGACCAAGTCGGAATGACCAAATAATTGGAAGCAGAGTTTGAGGAAAAGTTCAAGGCTTCTTAGATCGGCTTTAAACCTGCTGCCCAATCAGCAAAAAGACTGAAAGCGATTATAAACTTTTCTCACTTAATTACCTACAAATTCCAACAACTAAATCAAGAATAATATAGATACGCAGGAGGAAACCCAAGCCTCCAGACGACCAGTTAGTAAACCAATTAATTTCCTTAAATCCTGCCACTTTATTGGACGATGACTACTAGATCACTCTCGTTGAGCTTTCTCCTTGGCCAATAATCCCGTCAGCCTCCTGCTTCTGATTTTGTATATTCTGACATTCTGTTCCTTCGCAGATTGCTGCACGACCACTGCAAAAACAACAATTAACCTTCTGAATCAAGAAAAGCTCTGCCCATCTACATCGACGATCTGCAAAATGCTGACCAATTCTTACAGGATTTTCTTCTTCATCGCCGGTCAAAACATATTAGGAGAGATGAATGGAAATCGTCTCAATATTACTTCTACGATACCCACAAATTCGAATTACCAGAGGATAAAATGCTGATAATTATAATACATGGACTCTGTATTAACTCCTCTATATACAACATTATTAATGAACTAAATAACCAAGATTACTGTTCAAAGCATTTAAATGACTTATATAATAGAAAAGAGTGCAAGCCTCTACATCTCATTCTAATCTATCTGCCTCAAACCAAAGTAAATTCAGTATTACTCACTTA